ACTGGGGCAAATACAAAGAAACGCCGTCGGACGGCGGGGACAATGGACAGACATGCCACAATACAACACCCCGGACAGCCCCGGAACTTGCTTGAACTGAAGGGCCAGGTCCATCACTACGTACAGCATCCCTGGGATTGGGACTGTACAGACAGGTTATTAACGGCATTTACGGATAGGCCATTACCACCTGCACAAACTCCAGTCGAGTGAATGCCGTTATCAGTATACAATCACCACCTGTGACGACAACGACTGAGATATCAACCGATTTGGGCGGGGTTGTTGTAGCCGCTACAACAACAACAACAACAACAACGAGAGTGAGCTTCAACTTCTACGAGACCCGCGTAACTCTGGCTAGCCTCCCACTATCTAAAATGAGTGTCCACCATGCGGTGATTCCCCCATGAGGCCAACCACCTCTTCACATGCCCGCTCCAATCCCACTCAACTAACACACCTCTCCCTCTGGTTCGGCCCAATCGAAATATTAAGTTTTCTGGGCCCACCGTTATTTGAGCCTGTGGAAAATTACGGGCTAAATAAGCAGTTACAACAACAACAACAACAACAACAACAACAAACATGCATTTTATGCATTAGTTTTGAGTGAAAACAGAAGACAATCATGACAAAAACCCCAACAAAATATGAAAATAATAAAAAAAAGGCGGATTTTTCTCAAGCTTTTCAGTTCACAGTCAGGCAGTTATCCTAAAAGAAGTGGAAAGACACCACCTTCCACATTTCAATGAATATAAGATTATGAGAATCCGTTAAAAACTGTCCAATTTTTGGCTTGTGCGTTGACCCAACATCCAGATTTTCAGTTTTTTGGTCATAACTTGAGATTTTGGGGGTGTATTTGAAATTCTGCCAAGCCAAAATACTTCCCACTTCAGGGTCTACGTAACCGGAACGACCCAGATTTATATCTGGCCATGGACTGTCACTCCAGCAACACTCCCCAAAAACTCTTTGGAGAACTTGCATGCTGCTTCAACAACAAATTTTCTGGACCTGTTTCTATCACTTCTACTACATAACATAAAAAGTACCAGCAACCATTTTTTTTTGTAGCACCGCGTAATTATTGAATCATACATACATAGGTACTCCACGCGTTTGCCTATTTTGTTTTGTTTCATATTTTTAACTCAATTTATTTATTATTGACATTTGTAGCATTTTGGGCTGCTATTTTTTTTATTTCAGTTTGCTTTAGTGGCTTTTTTCTTATGTCAATTGCGTTTTAATTTATTATATTTCACACCAACTGATAGCATGATAAAAATATAGTAAGGTAGAACCGCTGAGAGTCACTTTTAAAATTCTTGACGTTTCCAAACAATTTAATTTTTAAATTTACTCACAAACTCACACACACATTTTCATTTTCAATCTCAAGCAACAACAATTTCGAACAATTTCATTTTTTTATTTTCACTTTTATATGATTTTAAAATGTTGGCAAACTTCAAAAAAAAATCATGGCCGACAAATTGAGAGAACGGTTATACCTTGCTATGTTTTTATCATGACTGATAGCATACGGGCAGGTGGAAAGGGGCAGCTCCTTCATTGCAGATTCTCGATTAAAACTTGTCAAGAATATACAAATATACATATATGTAAATTATTTACGTACTCCCATATGCGCATTTATATTTATATACATATGGACATACATACATACATATGTATGTACAAGATAATATGTAGATACATATATACATATGTATGTATATTGGTTATTAAATAATTGTTATGGTGTAGACTATTATGCCTGCAAAAGCATTTACATACAAAACTATAAATTGAGGGTCAAAAGCTATTTATTTTGTCATAAAAGTCAATAAGTTTATGTATAAGCTACTTACTTTACGATGACGTCCTTTGTAGACCACGGCAAAAGCACCATGGCCAAGCATGTCCTTTGAACTATATTCATAGTCCCCGACTATATTCATTGCAGCGAAGTCTTAGTATCAAAGGATAACAAAATATACAGTGGTTATCAAGCAGTTTTATAGCTGGTATGGAATGGGATTTTATTCATCCTTAGTTCATTGCTCTGGCTTACAGAAGCAGGGTAAAGTTTTATTTGGATGTAATTCAGTGGTTGGAGCCCGACAGCATTGTACACAGTTCAGATTATTGCATCAAAATTACTCCGGTAGTTAGTGACCCAATACCAACGTGAACCGACGGTACCGCAAAAGCAGATATAATGCGTGAAAAATGAGTGAAGCTTTTTTCGCGTGCGTTCATCAATTGCAATATGTATTTAATTCGAATGCAGTTGTGTCGGAAAATCAATTTCTCATTTTCATATTCCTCGTTTCGCTTCTTTTATTTTTTCGTCGTTCAGTATCAATCACAATTTTTCTTTTATAATTCGCATAAGCACTCAAAAAATAAACTGGTTTTTTGCTAATGTATAACTAATTTTACGGAATTTTCATTAAAATCAGTAAAACTTTTTCACTTTTCACTTTTTTACGAGGAAGTGACAACGAACTAGCAAAAACAATGTCCGTCTGAAGCGATATGTGCGATTCTCAGTATATCCAGTAAACAAACTTAGCCATTTTTTTTTACCAAGTTTGGTCCCCATAAAGGACTAGTGTTGCAAGCAACGCTTTTTCGGCAATTAGGGTGTTGTGCAGCTATTTAATGTGGTGAAAATTATTTAAGCACTGAAGAGATTTATTCACATGGAATTGGAGATAGGGCTGATAAATGTATTTTAAATAAATTGTGAATCTGCGAAAATATCTTTTCAGCAGATGAATATACTTTTTAACCTTTTTTCCGAAAATTTACATACAGGCTCGAAAATATGCGAGTAACATTAGGCTTGTATAGTAACTTCTCCAGTAAGACATTGCAGCGAGAGCGTAAAAGCAAAATAGAGCGTAAAATTGAGAAGAAGAGAAAACTAGCAGAAGAGGTTATTGAACACAAAACTAGCAAAAACTTGCAAGAGAACAGTTGTTGCACTGCTTTGACAATCTGCTGTAAACATTTTAC